AAAATTCTTCCAAACTCTGGCTTCAATTACAAGAGAGCCTGTTATTTTTCTGTCCTATCTGAAGAATAAAACCCACGGGAGCTTCCTTTCTTCTGCCTATTCTCTTAGAATACCATTCATGGATCTGTTTTGTTCTTGTCCTTGTGATCATGACTACTCAATAATCTCCTTGTTCATGATGCCTAATTTTCAATTGTAGAACTCTTCACTGAATCCAACCCATACCCATCTGCCCACTGGGAATGCACACTTGTTTACTTATATACAGGTACTCACATTTCACTCAAAATTTTCCCTACCCCCATTGAGGACCTGTCCCCAAATATTTACAAACCCAAACATTCCAATATCTGATACCACTGCTCTAAAAGTCAGATTTATGAATCATTTCAGAGTGCAGACTTTTGAAATCTGAAGCTGGGGGAAAAAAATCAACGCCAATATTTCAAATTCTAACAAATGGAAAAACTGGAACACTCTGGGCCTACACACTCAAAGGGCACTCAAAGTATAATTACCTTCTCTATGTTATTGCTTGGTGATACTTCGTGTTATAAATCTGAACTCTTGATACATGTCTATCACTTATGTCCATGTGCTTCTTGCTTACGATAACCTGATGAATCCATTTTGCCTCGAATCTCATCGCTACATTAGTACACAGTTCCTCATTTCTCTGATCATGTACCATGACAGTTGTATGAGGAGCATCCTTCTTCAAAGACCAATCTGACTGCAATTAAGTTTTCCCCTTGTTGTTAAAAGTCTATGAGCTCCTTGCAGCTTTCTCAGCCTTATCACTCACTGTCCCTTCCATACAATGTGGCTCCCAATTTGCTCCTGATTCCTGGCCTTTCTATTCTGTATTTTCCCTTCTTTGTTCTCAATTCTCTATCCACCTATCATTCCTCTAATAATAACATATTACAGTTACTAAAAAGATATATCATCTACATAGGTCTATTTAGGGGGCCTTTCTTAGAATATTCTGCTCTGTAAGACAATAGTTTCCTTGACCCATGGAAGAGTATTCAATCTACACCTCGTGTGGAAGGATCTGCCTTGGATGGGTAGAGGGTTTCCCTTTGACTCTATTGGGAGAAAAGCAGAACATATGAGTTCAGATGGTCTGTCACTGTCTCAGATTATGTGTGGGAATTCCAAATAAAGGTGGCTAGAGTGCTAGACTAGAATGCTAGAAAAGAAGTCCATGAAGGCTTAAGAGGCGATGAGATAAACAGTTTCAGAAGAAGTCTAGAAACCTAGTTCTTCAAAGGAACCCTTACAACATTGATCTGTAGAAACCAATTGCAATAGTTTGAGGCCATGAATTTAAGGAGACATTAGATTCCTTGTAAGGACTATCTCACATTCCCATTCACTGCTGTAGAAGAAACAGATAAAAACCAAGAAAACAATGGTCTTGAGGAAAACTGTTGGTCTCTGAACTGGAGAGCAAGACATGTAACTGGGCTGGGGCCATTCTCTAAGAGCAGAGAGAAAAGCTGACAAAGCTGCTCTCAGGGGCACTTCTATTTTTGAGGCAGGAACAAATAATGCAGTTGTAGACAGTTAAGTGTTGTAACGAATACAAAGCTGGGCAGAGATCACAACATTAGAGTGAATCCACACTCATTGTTCTTGATCACAGAAGAGCTAGCACCTTCACAAAGTGTAAAAGCCTTGAAGCAGCAGACATTAGCCCTCTCCAACTGCCTATTTTAGAGTAGACATGAGAGGCATTTCCAAGAAAGAGATGTTGAAATGAAGACCATGAAATCTTGGCTTGAGCAGAAGTAGGAAGGCAGGGAGGGGAAAATTGGATGAATAAGTGGGTTCTGGGATGAGATGAAATCCACAAAGATTGTGAGAATGTGATCCACAGACCACACAATAGCTGGATTATAAGGATAAGACATGTTTCTCTTAGACTGTGGAGCTAATGCAATAAAACGTTTGGCCAGCATTAGACACGGTCCGTCTTTTGAACTATTCAAGAGATTTTACATTAAAGAATTAGGCACATTTAAACAGACTCTGGATATATAAAATATAAATATTCTCCTGTGATTAACCAGGGTAAGAGTTGGAATGACAAACCTATGTTATTATTGATAAAAGCCTAATTATATGCAAACATTTTAGAATTTGGCATTGATACCTAGTAGAAATAAAGAGCCCCAAAATTCAGCCTTATAAAATTATCTTAAAAGAAATATTTTGCCATCCATCATTCTTTTTTTTTTTTTTTCTTTAATTTCAAGACAGGATTTCTCTGTACCACTTTGGAGCTTATCCTGGAACTAGGTCTGTGGACTAGGCTGGCCTCGAACTCACAGAAATCCATTTTGCCTCTGCCTCCCAAGTGCTGGGATTAAAGGTGTGCGCCATCAACACCCAGCTGACATCCATCATTCTTACTATGTGTCACTAAATACAGGTTCAAGAGCCTTTTTTCACACATTTGATCAATGCAAGTTTTCCCAAAGCATTTTTGTTGTAGTCTATGTTATCATTCATCTTTATGACACTGTTGAATATAAGATCCACTTAGACATATACCTTTCACATTCATTACTACAATAAACAGCCCAAAGAATTCTGGGGACATTGAATTTGTGTGGCTGGAGATTGAATGGAGAGCCACAAACACTCTTAGCATATACTCAACCACTGAACAATATCCTCTGATCTCTTAATTTTTTTATAATGAACAAATAACCATATAACAATTGAACAGGGCCAAAGATAAGTAAAAAGACAATACAAATTTCACAAATAGAAGCAAAGGAAGGCTTATTAAGTTTAACCTAATGACAAACAGTGATGCCTGCCATAGTCTAAATATTTTATTATCATTGTAAAACTGCTTCTATTTAACCCAGAAGTATACAATTTCTAATAACTTCACTTCATAAACAAGTTAAAAGATCTTCTTGAATTATCATTAAAGTATAAAGAAATATTTATCCACTTAGCATGACTAGGAAATCCTGTAAAATATTAAACAAATTCTATAGGCCTTTATCTACTCCTTGAATTATAGATGGTTACCAAAGAAAAATATTTATGGTGTTCCTCTGTGTTTTAGAAATCTAACTCCTAAAATTTTAGGAGCTTGTATTTGTTATTTTTTTAAATTATTATTCATGTTTTTTTAATGGCTAAGGAAGGTTCAGTCACAAAAACACAATCTCAATTTTGACCTATAAAATACAAATTAATGTATTATATAATAAATCATGTACAATGTGATAACATTATATACAATAAATCAGGCATAATTTATGACAAATATATACTATGTGCTATAAATCATGTACAATGTGTACTCTTGCCCACATTTTACATATGAAATTTGTCAAAAGGCCTGGCTTTGTTTTAGGTAAGCCCTAGAATGAAGAACTTTTTACTTCTTGGGCAGTGATGGTACACACTTTTAATCCCATCACTTGATAATCAGAGGCTGGTGGATCTCTGAGTTCCAGGCCAACTTGGTTTACAGAGTGGCTTCCAGGATAGTCAGGGTTACACTAAGAAATCCTATGTCAAAAAACAAAAACAAACAAAAAATCCAATGGCTTTCTACTTCTTAACAAGCCACAAAATATTACCTGATACTTTTACTTATATAATCTTCTACCATCATTCTACCATCATGTATCATCTTTATAAGTGGCACATTCTTGATATTAAAATCCTACCAGGTGGAAAAAACAGGGCTCGGCCTTTTCATCACTAAGGGAATGAGATCCCCAGGGTTCTCTAATATCTAACCACAAGGCTATGATTGTGGCAGAACAGGTTAGGAATAAATAAGATTTTTGCCTTCATTCATATAGAGTTGAATCTGAGAATGATAATCACTTTGATTCATGAACCTCAACAGTGTTCTCTTTTAATCACCATGATTACCTTCAAAGCAGTATGTTTCCACCTAAAGGAAGTTGTGCTTATGTTGATTAAATTGTCCCATGATTCATTCCTTATAATTCATTGCAAGTGACACTTGACCAAACATTGAAAGCCATAGACGAATACAGAAAGAACAGACACATTCTTCAGTGTGTTATCTGGCCTCTCTGTCTCATGCCATGTTTGCCTCTAGGAGAATTCCTCAAGAAGCAAAATCTTTCCTAGAGCATGGCATGATATAAATCTGATCTTCAGAAGAAATGTTGCATTCCAGGCCTGAAATGTTTGCAATAGTAAATGCCTTGATATAACTGTAAGTTTCAATGACTTCAAACAGTGAGACCAAAACACAAAAAAAAAAAAAAAAAAAAAAAAAAAAAAAAAAAACAACTTTATTGAGTATCTTCTTAATTTTTCCATCCTGCTTATGTCTTCAGGATGTATGAAGTATTATTGAGATAATGTTTATAGTTTTCAAGCTCTCTGGGAAAAAAACTACTACTTATCTAGAGGTATTAATTCATCCCACAAAAATATCAGATGGTGTCCTGAAGATTTAAAAGACACCAATAGACTTTGTTCTTTGGGTACAATGTTTTGACAAAGCAAATAAATAGCAGATTGTGCTGAAGTCATAAGCACAGTTAGCATATAAGAGAATGGGATGGTGATGTAGCTTGGTGGTACAGCATTTGTCTAACACATATGCAACGACCTCAGCTCAATTTGCATCACTGAAAACAACATATCTGCAAAAAGCAATTAAAAAGAAAAACATACTTCACAAAATATTTAATCTTAAAAATAAAAGCACAAAGTTATACTGTCTTGATAAATGATTTAAACTAATAGCGTGTTGTTCACAAAACTGTCCAATAACAATGAAGGCTAAGCCTAGAACTGCATAGTTAACAAATTGTTAGCCTCTCATGCCTGCAATGCAATTAACCAAAGTTTTGTTTGTTTGGATATTTGGAGGGTTGTTGGTTTTTAAGCAATGCCAAAATATCTTGTTTAAGTTTGCATTGAACCAGATGCCTGTTACACATCTGCCTACAGAGGGAAAAAACAGCTCTGCAGTTTACCTTGACTAATGAACTGCTCCATGTTTTCCTTGAAGGGCTGCATGTGTTCTTCAGAGGAGACCTGGTACACTTTACCCGCTTCCACCTCACAGGCTGAAAGGAAGAGAGCAAGACCATATTTAGAACACCATGTTGTTATGGGAATATTACACTGGTTTCTAGAAAGCATAATAACCAGTGTTGGAAAATCCTTCCATAACTTTGATTGCCATCTGTTGTGTACCCACATTGGAACCATTTTCAGACATATATTATATACCCCTCCAGTGAACCACAAAAAGACATTCCTAAGAATGAATATACCCTGTACTACTACTCCTAAACTGATATGTTGGACAAGTGACTTAGACCTTAGGTCCTTAGTTCCTTAATTTGAAAAATAGTAAGTATACCAGAACCTACATCATAGTGCAGTTCCAGGGCCAAAATCTGCTAAGAGCTGTGAGCTGTTGCATCAGAGCCCACTAGACAGGGCAGCAATAGCTAAGCATTTCTTCTCTCATAACTGTCAACTGACTTCTAATGCAAGTTTATCTCTATTTACAGTCCAAATTTCTGAAAAATAAAGCAAAGAAACGGCAACCTAGCAGAGCAGCCAGGATTTACAGAGCACGCGCATACCAGCACCAGGTACTTTTTATCCATAATTTAATCAAATCTTTAAAGTAAGACAAGAGAGGGGATACTCTTGGACAGCTGAGGAGGTTAAGGTTTAAATATGGCCTCAGGACGAAAGCGCAGACTCATAAGTGAAGTTCTGAGTTGACACTGATGTTTGTCCTTCCCTTCCATTTGATGGCATCATAAGTATGTCAGAACACATGTGGAGTTAGCATCATTTCTGAGCACGTCTCTGAAGAATGACTGTCAGTGTGGAAAGGAGTTCTATGACTCAGTAGATTCTGAAGATGAAAACTACATGCTTGAATATGAATAGCATCAGATCCATGCTGGCCTCTGGAAAACTGGCCACTACTCTCTTAAACTTAGGTTGTTCCTATAAAACCACATTTCCCACCAGTGAAGTTATTCTTCAGTGTGTGTGTGTGTGTGTGTGTGTGTGTGTGTGTGTGTGTGTGTGTGTTTCACTGCCAGAACTACTTAGAATCTACTTGGCGAAGGGAATGGATCAGATAAGGAGTTAAAAAGACTGCAGCTATCTGCCTTGGATTGTATCATTGCTGACAGCCCCAAGAAAACAGAAATATTTTGTTTGTTTGTTCTATTGCACTGGGGATTGAACCCAGATTCTTGTACAAGGTAGGCTAGCCATGTACTGAACTATACCCCAAGCCCTCTTTTGAGTATTTTGAGAGGAAGTCTCTCTAAGTTGCTCATGTCTGCCTTGATCTCACTCTACAGGCCATGCCAGTCTTAAACTAAGATTCTTTAGTCTCTAGAGTAGCTGAAGCAATAGGTCCATGCCAGCAAGCTTCATGTCTTCTTTTAAATGTCTGCAAATGATGCTATGCATATAATGATTTTGTCAAGAATTTTCTAATATAATGGATAAGGTAGATCCTTATATAAGGCAATATAGCCATTGCTTATAGAGAATAAGGCCTAGTTTATTAGTGTCCCCCTTAATCTTTCAGTCAATTATTCCTAGCAGGGTCAAAGGAAGAGATGCTAAAAAGCCTTTGAGCAGCATTGAACTGTGAAGCAATCTTCTCTGTCATCTCAAACCTCACTTGTCCTCCATTCTGTGCCCCGGGTTCAGCTCCACATATTCTAACAGCCAGGGACAAGATGAGAACACCTCTCTTCACAGAGAGCATTTATTCTAAACCATCAGTCTTTAACATTTCTTCCATATCAGTGAGAAGAGTAGAAACTTGTCACATTAGTGTGTAGTGGTTTAGGGTGGCATGAAAGGAAAAAACAAAACAAAACAACAAAAATTCTTCTTCCCTCTCTGAGAGGTAGAGATAGAATGATCAGTTCAAAGTCATCCTCAGCTATGTCACAAGCTTAAGACAAGCCTGCTTTGTCTAAAAGACAAAGCAAATACCATGAGAAAATAGGAGAACCATAGTTTCATTCATGGAGTTCTATTACATCTGGAGATGTACAATGTCCTAATATCACCTGACAGTAGGAAGTGATGGAAATCCATCTCACAAGGCTGTTGTCTTCTGGGAAAGGGAGTTCACTGTCAGAAAAGCTGAGCCATATCATGGGCTGACTGTGGCAAAGTCTTCGAATGTTTTTGCTCAGCAAGTTTGACAGAATAGAACATTTAACAAATAGGAAAATGAAAACTGTGGGCTAGGGAGATGGACAGTGTGTTAAGACCTTACCATGCAAGCATGATGACCTGAGTCAAAACCCATGTACAGCATAGTAAAACAGCAATTACCTGTGGACCTGGTATTCCCATGGCGAGGTGGGAAACAGAGACTGGTGAATCCACAAAGCTTATGTGCCAACTGGCCTGACACACAGCCACAAGTATGGCAAGATATATGTGTACCACCATTCACATATGTGAACATGCAACATATACACATATCACACACACACACACATATACAAACACACACACACCATATACATACATACATGATAATAAAATATTGTGATAGACTATTTTATATTCATATTTTTTTCATTTAATTTTATAACCTATATTCTTAGTATAAGGTAAACAAAATTATGCTTTTCCTCTGTTTAATCTATCTTTTACCTGAACTCCCTGTACACAATGAGGATTAAGCACAATTTGAGATCTAGAAAACGCATGAACAATGTTTGGCCAACATCTTGGAGTTTTTGATGGAGTCTACTTATACTTCTGTCAGGAACTCTTTTCTCAGCAAGCTGTGCTAGCCATTAGTATTTACAACTAGATATTAAGCCACTCTTTCTCTATAGTCAAACCTTGGTAGAATAAGCCTAGGGGTTACTTTTAAATATTGCAAGTATTCAGAAAATTCGCAGCTCAGGTCTTTAATGGGTAATAGAATTCTAGTTTCCAAGGGTAGGTTTATGTTTTATTCCTATCCACCATTCTCCACTTATTTACTGTGATATATATATATATATATATATATATATATATATATATATATATAAAATTATAATATTAATTATAATTAAAATCCACATAGTTATAGTTAGCTACTTGTTTATCTGTAAAATGCCATAGTTATTCAATTTCTCCACATTACATATTCACTTGACATATTTTTGGCTCTTATGATCAGCTGTTGGTACCTCTTATCTAAACATATCCAGTTTAGCAGTTAATTGTCACTCTAAAGAAAGAGGGGCATTCTTTCCCTCAACTTCATGTGTCCCTCCTCTATACAACATATTCATAACACTGGATTTAGATGAAATAAATGAATGTTCAAGTCTAGTTTAACCATCAGATATGGAAATCATTCACTTACATAAGTGTTTTCTCAAGCTTCCTAATGGTGCAACCCTTTAATGCAGTTCCTCATGTTGTGGTGACTCCCAACCATAAAATTATTTTGTTGCTACTTCTTACCTATGATATTGCTACTGTTATGAATCATGATGTAAATAGTTGATATGCAGGATATTTAATATGTGACCCCCCACAGGGGTTATAATAGCACCTCACATTTACTTAGTTTAAATTTTTGTCTCTGATTGTAATTCCTGTTCCCAAAGGCCAAGAGTATCCTACTCACCTGGTATGAGTTGTTTGAGGTATGGAGGAACCAGAACATTACACAAAAGAAGGTGTTATCAGCTATGCCCATGATTATGAATTTCTTTAATCTGGACATATTCTGGTGATAGCACAATACTACAAAGGACATAAAAGCTCAAATTCTAGATCTCTAAGCTCTTTCTTATGAGATAAAATACATTCTATTATTTGTGGATAGTTTATCCACAACTATTATGCTACAACACATAATAGTATGGCTTAGAGCTTTAAAAATATTGTGGATGTACTATTCTCATACATATTTTAATAATCACCACACATAAGAATAATTTTAAGACAATAAGGCATTAGGCACATTTAACACATAAGGTATTAGGATATTTCTTTAAAGCAATGGCTCCCATTCTATTCTCAGCTGTAGTATACCATATTTCACAACATATTATTCTGGCTTGTACTTATCATTTTCAAAATTGGTATGTAACTGCAATTTTTTTTAAGAACACAAAACACTGCAATATAAACATGAGGGTCATTTAGAAACATTATTAAAATCAGAGCAAAGATAGAGTTCTTGGAAAACTTAATTACAGTCAAATACAAATAAAAAAAACAAAAAATAAAAAAACATTAGTCAGGAGGCAGTAGGCATAACTGAGCCATTCCAATAGTGTTAACTTTTGTTTAATTTAAAGCCTTGGCTGAGCCAAAGAGATTTGTGTGATGTTAAAGGATTGATATTGGGAAGTATGCATTAGGCTTCCCAACAAAGAAAAATACAGCCAGAGGGAAGGAGAACCAAAAGCCTCAGATAGGCCAGGATAAAATGAACTCCAACACAATGGTTTCATTACAGAGCTGCATGCTGTGAGGCAGAGCAATCACCACCTTGTGACTGTCACACTGACCATCAACATCCATCTCCCAACTCTCTCTGAAGCAGGCCTACATCATGAAAGTCTCAAAGTTCAGTCAATGCTAAATGCAGCCTAAAACTACCAGTTTTCTGTGATCTTCAAGAAAGTCATATTAATATCTACACATACACAAAAGACAACAAACATGTTGATTAGAAGGAAAACCCCTAGAAACTAATCTTCCAGAACCAAACTGCCCCCCTTTCCCCACAGAAGAACCTTGTCTATACATCATAATGGGTTCAGCAGAGAAAGGGAGAGGGGGACAACACACAAATTTGTTTGTTTCATACATTTTTATTTAATTTAGAAACAATCTCATTTTACATATTAATCCCAGTTCCCTCCCATGCTCCCCACTGACTCTCCGATCTCATCCCTATCCACTCCTCAGGGAGTGGGGATTCCTTTGGGGATCATCAAAATCTGACACATCATTTGGATCAGGGCCTACACCCTCCCCTGTGTATCTAGGCTGAGAGAGTTTCCCTCCATAGGAATTGGACTCCCATAGTCCATTTGTGCACTAG